GTGTTTTGTTTTGCCGCAAATGTATTAGCATTTCTCAGAAGTCTTATTATACCAATTCCTGAGCCATAGTTAGTTCTATGAGCTTTCAAAGCAAATGTGCAGCTACCATGCAACGACCTAGGTGGGATATAAAAATCTACCCTTTACAAGAGTTCAGGAGAGTCACCAAGGCCATTTGAAAACTAATTTTATGTTATGAGTGTGAGAGAGAAGGGCCTGAAAAAGTAGATGGGTTAAGGAATAAGGCAGTAGAGTAATGAAAGTGTTTAGAATGTGAAAAATACATAAGTATTAGAAGTCTTCAAGAATACCCCTATCCCATGTGATCTGGTAAATAAGAAATGTAATGAAAATATCAGTTCTTAGTTATTAAGTATCAGTTCTGTCAAATAGGTCAGTGACATTGTTTTAGGGTTACTAAAGTAATTAATGTTACTTTTAGCCAACTGATGGGCTCAATTTAGTCACGTGGAATACAAGTATTGTTAAAAATTTGGTATTTAACTAGTAAAACCAATAGGTACATATATCGTCATTTATAGTCGTTAGAGTTATAGCTGGATCAACTAAACTTGATAAGTTATAAGAGACATTAGTCTCAAAGTAAATAGGTTGAAGGGGGCTAGAAAAATAATTAGATAAAAGATTAGGAGGTAAGAAGGTTATAGAACTTAAATAAATGTAAGAGTTAAGAAAGGATGATAAGAGAAGAAAATGTAAGAAAAATTGATTATTAATGATCAGGAAGATGATCATGGGGAATAGGATAAAGAGTAAGTGCAAGCAATGAAGGATGGAATGAAATATTAACCCAGTTTCTTTTACTTTTCTAACTGGTGGAATATAAACCAGTTAAGAATTGTAGAAACCATATTTCTATAAAATTGACCACAGCAGGAGTGCAAATAAGTTTCCAGTGATTGACAAGTTAGCTTTAATGTCGAAAAATAAAAAAAAAAAGATGAACATAATAAGAACCTTGATAAACTGTTCTTTACGCCCTTCAGGTTCCCCATCTGTTTGTAATATGGCGGCACTGCAGCCTGCGGCTTATTGTGATACCATTTGAAGGTCTTACTACTTTTCCATTCACAGTCATTTATTCCACATCGTCGATGGTTAAATGCTAGTAGGCTAAGTCCCATGGTGACAGCCCTTCCATTGGACTGACAAGATCGGTAGTAACAAACTTAATTAAAGAACATTCCCTTGTAAAATTCAAGGAAAGACGGGATGAAACAATAAGTTGCAGAGTTGTCAGGGAGCTTTTAAATTGACATTCAAACAAATACTTGACTATGACTAGACAGAATCTCCAGCTGATTAGAGACATTCTAACTGGTCATTGCCAAGTACGGAAGCATCTTCATAGCATGGGGCTGTCAGAATCCGCTCTGCAGGGATGATGCAAAAAAAAGATGAGACAATTGAGCATATCATCTACGATTTCCCGGCACTCTCATTTATCACAAGATTAATGTTCGGCGAGTATTGGCTAATACTGGCCAATATAAGAGAAACACCTCATTCTTGGACCACCGTTATTCCTGATTTATATAAACTCCATAGCTCAGTTACCATTAGTTGGTTATCTGCAACTATAGAGCATTCAATATAAAAACCGATGCACGTCAGAGATGACGTCAATGACAGTCATTGGTACCACACACACTAATAAAAATAATTAAATTTTATTTTGCAAATAAATGATAAATTTAGACGCATGGAGTTCATTTTTATAAAATTGCATATTAAAAATGTATTTTTTATCATATCACAGTAGTAAATGTACTGTAGGCATTTTATTAACGGAATACTTTCTAGTGAATTTTATAATAAAAGTTGGCATCAAATGTGTCAGCTTTCAATTTTAATACATTGTTGTCAATTGTAATTTGTTTTGTATTATTTTGCATCGATCGATTTCTTTTCCACAAATTATTTGTATTTTAGATTAAATTATTAACAAACTGTTCTTTTCAGAACAAATATATTAGGAATTTAATAGTGGTGTTCGTTTATTGTGTATTTTAAATGCCAAAACAATTAAATAGTCACTGCAAGGAACTAGTGGCTTCTCTAATAAATTATTTTGAGAAAGAACGTAATAATAATGGGCCTTTGTTACCTTTAACAGCTGTAAGAGAAGTGAGTTGATTAATAATGTATCACCGTCAAATTAATATAATTATTTTGTTTCAGCATGTCGCAGAAGCACTTAATCTCAATTTTTATACTGTTCTATTTCACAAGCTGTAGAGAACAGTGAAGTTCTAAAGTCACCACCAAAAAAGCGCTCTGGGCAAAAGAAAGTTACCAACACAAGAATTCTGAATACCAGTGCTATTCGAGATGTTATTTATAGCATGTATGAGTCTAGTAAGTGTATATGTATATAAATTATTATTAAACAATTACAAATTAATGTATGATTTCAGAGGAGCATGTAAGTTTAGATTCTTTGTTGGTGAAACTTAATGAGAAGGAGTTGTTCAATGGATGTCGCATACCTTATTATTAGAAATAGGTTTCAAATGGCAGAAAGATGAACCAAGGCGAGGTCTTATGGAACTTCCAGATATTGCCATGAAACGGGCAGAATTTTTAAGAAAATATACCAAAGAAAAGGAAGCAAATTTGTACCAGTTTGTTTTTATTGATGAGACTTGGATTTTTTAAAATGGCACCATAAACCGTTCTTGGCAAGACAGCAATAAAAGAAGTGTAAAAAGTACCAAAGTTGATGGTAAAAGGTTAATAAAAAAAAAAAAACTAATATATACATGTTAACTGTATATTGATCTTATTTAATAGATATATAATTCTTCATGCTAGAAACGAAAATGGATTTATTGATGGTTCCCAGGCCATATTTGCTTCAAAAAGCAATGATTATGATTATCACGGTGAGATGAATAATGAAAATTTTTTAAAATGGTTCAAAGAACAATTGCTTCGAAGACTGCATGAACCATCTTTAATTGTAATGGACAATGCTTCATAACATAGCACATTGGCACACAAAACACCGAATAGTAATTCGACTAAGGTTCAAATTCAAGAGTGGTTGACGAATCAAAACATACCTTATTCAGTCACCATGTTTAAGGCTGAACTTTTGAACCTTGTTAGACGGTGAGTAATGGAAATCTACTTTTTCTGTATTTTTTAAATGCTTTTATTTTTTTAGTAATAAACCACCAAAAATATATGTAGCTGAGATGCTGGCTGAACAGTATGGACATAAGGTGTTACGTCTTCCTCCTTACCATTGTATTTTTAATGTTGGTAATTTTATTAACTAACTGTTCTAATTATTGTTACTTCTTTTAAATATTGATGTTTATAAACTAACTGAACATAATTATTTTTTATTGTAAATTAAATCAAGCCTAAATAAAATTTGTTATTTTTTTCATCCTTAACCTAACCTTTTTTTGTCATTTTAAACCTCTTGTGCAAAATTTATTACTATTAAGTTCAGTATTTTTCTAAAACTTCAATTTAAACATTATCAATGACCTTCATTGGCTTTTATATAGAATTCATTATACATTTAAAATTAATTGTTCCTAATAACATAGCCAAAAAACATAACCTCATAGTTTTAAAAATTCCTACATACTTAGACTATTTTGAAGATTGGTAAAAATTCCTACATACTTAGACTATTTTGAAGATTGGGCAACACTGCAAGGCTATGACTTCACAACTGATTGATGACGTGTATCGGTTTTTATATTGAATGCTCTATATATGCCGATGACGCATGCCTCATCTGTTTTGTAAAAGATCCAGAGGAAATAAAAAATATTATAGAGGAAGATCTAAATCAAATTTTTGAATAGTTAAAGTTTCATAACATTGAATACTGAACAGTCAAATTTTTTAGTGGTATCAAAAAAGCCTGAATGGAACCAATTTCAAATAAACAAAACAGTGAACTAGGACAGAATGCATTAAATATCTTGGCTTGTATATTGATTCCAATCTCAACTGGAAACATCATATTACTTAATTGTGTAAAAAAATTAGCCCTGCCATTGGAGTTTTGGGACGGGTTATCTACTATCTTTCAGCAGACTTAAGGAAGGCTATATCATTCACTAATCCATTCACATATATCACATTTATCTCTCATTTGGAGCAAAACTTCCCCAAAATAGACTAAAACCCTTGCAAATTCTACAGAATAGGGCCATCATAAAACATTTTCAACTCACATTATGTTATTCTACTGATATTTTGTATGTAGTACATAATTCTTCTTCAGTGACATTATTAAATTTGTTATTTGTAAGACCCATATAGTCATGAACTCTGGGTCTAGATATGCCGTTTTGTATTTCTTTATTAACAAATTGATGGAACCTTATATTTATCCCAAAAAAGTTTTACACAAATAGAACAAACGTTTTATCTTACATTTCACAATAAAAATTATTTTTGATAAATTCTGCATCACTTGGAAATCTATAATCAAGCATCATATTTGTAAAATGTTAGGCTGTATACAAGGAAAATAAAAATAATGAAATAAGGAAAAGTAAAGTACTTTTAAATTTGAATTAGAGCAAAATATTAATTGAAAATGTTGATAAGAATTAAATAATATGCTTAAGTTAAAATCATTGAACTTGTTTATAAATAATTTTTGATTTACTTCATTCTATAAAATAATCCAATTAAATAAAGTGTATACCTATTTGCAATTTTGACTAATATTTTTATCATATAAATCACACAAACCTTTTTTGTGAGCATCAAAACTTCCCACAGTTACATTTAAAAAAAATCATTGATTTATTTTTGAAACTAAAATATGTAAGTATCTACTACTTTTTATTTTATCCTCAAATTAAAAATATAGGTTACCTATGTAGTAGAATTTATAGCTAAAATAAATTAAAATGATGTATAAATTTAATGTCACCCATTTTTTGTATACTACACCTTACCATCAATTTTATATAAAAAACAAGAATCAGATAGGTACATACCTTTAACCAATTGGGTATCTGTTTCTGTCTTATGTTGCATTTCCATCAGTTCAATCATGTGTAGATCAACGGGTTTGTCAGGCTGTCTGATAGCCAAAACTGCATCCACACAAACATCTGTGAGGAGATCAGCCAAATTTTGATGCAACTGATAAACCAAAATTATTATATTAAAACTATCAGGAAACATAAGAGGTACTAACCTTAGTTCTCAAACTTGTCTTACAAACATCAGTTAATATTTCCTTATTAATCTCCACGGGAATCTTTATTTTCTCCAGAACTTCTAAAGCTTTTACTCTGGCTTTGTCGAATCCTTCAGTAAGTATTCTTGGGTGCAGACCTTCGGCTATGTATATATCTGCTTGTTTGAGAAGCTCTCCTATAACTAAAACTGTAGATGTAGTCCCATCACCAGTCATATCATCTTGGGCAGTAGAAGCACGGGCGATTAAAGATGCAGTAGGATGTTGAATCTGCATTTCATGTAAGAGTACATTTCCATCTTTGGTAATTTTGATGTCACCGGCACCAGAGACCAACCTAATGTATATAAAGTAAGGTTATGTAAGTAGAATTCTAGAAATATTGATATTTTTGACATAAAGCATACGATTAAATCTAATTTATAAACAACTATACATTTAAAAAGTATTTTTAAAATGAAAAAACGGCTAAATATATCAAAAAGACCATTTATAAAGTCATGTGTTCTTACATTTTCATTGTACCCTTAGGACCCAAGTTCGATTTCATAACATCTGAAATCCCTTTTGCCGCAGTAATATTAACAGCTAAAGCTTGGGCAGCCCTAGCAACCTCGGCTTTTGGATTCAATAAACTAATAGCCATTTTCTTTGATTTTACAAACTTTTGCGGAACTTCAACACAAAAACCAAAAATGGAAACTCTAACTGACAGCTGTCACTATAAATGTCATGAATCACGTTGTCTTCTCTTTTAGATTTTTTGGAAGTCTCGATTATAACAGACAACCAGAAACTTTATAATAAGGCCCGTATTTATAAACAAGGCCCGTATTTATAAACAAAACTCAGCTGAGTAATCTAGGTCCGTATTTATAAACAAAACTCAGCTGAGTCGGACTTGGGTAAGTCGTCCTTGAACGAAAATCGAAGTTCGGTTATATCGCGTGAATTTAGAGATAAGTAGTAACAAATCCGTAAATGTACATAACAGTTACAGATTTGCTAATGTCCATCTCTAAATTCCAGTTTAACACCAGAACCACCTAGAACTTTAGAGACGTTGTAACCAAACTTTGATTTTAGTTCAAGGACGACTTACCCAAGTCCGACTCACGTAAGTTCTGTTTATAAATACGGGCCCTATGCTCAGCCCCAGGGGGGCTATTTTCAAACTCGAGAGAATTCATTTCCATCAAGAGAAATGTCATACGTCAACGTAAAACAGTATTTTTAGGGCTCTTAGGGCCAGTGTGAACTCACTGACTGTTTCTCTCGGTTTATTTAGAGATAATTAAAATTCTCCTAAGAATTTTAATCCTCGATTCCCTTAAATACAGCGTTTCCACATTGACGTATGACATTTCTGATGAGAATCTTGAGAGAAATGAGTGCTCACATACTTTGAAAATAGGTCCCCTGGGGACCTATTTTCAAACCGTGTGAGTACTCATTTCTCTCAAGATTCTCATCAGAAATGTCATACGTCAATGTGGAAACGCTGTTTTTAAAGGCCTCGAGGATTAAAATTCTTCGGATGATATTAATTATCTCTAAATAAACCGTGAGAAACAATCAGTGATTTTACACTGGCCCTTAGGACCCTAAAAATACTGTTTTACGTTGACGTATGACATTTCTCTCGAGAGAAATGAATTCTCTCGACTTTGAAAATAGCCCCCCTGGGGTGCTATTTTCAAAGTCGAGAGAATTCATTTCTCTCGAGAGAAATGTCATACGTCAACGTAAAACAGTATTTTTAGGGTCCTAAGGGCCAGTGTAAACTCACTGATTGTTTCTCACGGTTTATTTAGAGATAATTAATATCCTCTTAACAATTTTAATCCTCGAGGCCTTTAAAAACAGCGTTTCCACATTGACGTATGACATTTCTGATGAGAATCTTGAGAGAAATGAGTACTCACACGGTTTGAAAATAGGTCCCCTGGGGACCTATTTTCAAAGTATGTGAGCACTCATTTCTCTCAAGATTCTCATCATAAATGTCATACGTCAATGTGGAAACGCTGTATTTAAAGACATCGAGGATTAAAATTCTTAGGAGAATTTTAATTATCCCTAAATAAACCGAGAGAAACAGTCAGTGAGTTCACACTGGCCCTAAGAGCCCTAAAAATACGGTTTTACGTCGACGTATGGCATTTCTCTTGATGGAAATGAATTCTCTCGAGTTTGAAAATAGCCCCCCTGCTGAATCGGACTTGGGTAAGTCGTCCTTGAACGAAAATCGAAGTTCGGTTACATCGCGTGAATTTAGAGATGGGTAGTAACAAATCCGTAAATATACGTACCAGTTACAGATTTGCTAATATCCATCTTTAAATTCCAGTCTAACACCAGAACCACCTAGAACTTTAGATGCGTTGTAACCGAACTTCGATTGTAGTTCAACGACGACTTACCCAAGTCCGACTCAGATAAGTTCTGTTTATAAATACGGACCTCTGAGTTAGGGCTGATTCCACCGTTGGGTTAACGAAGTTTAAATTACTAAGGGCCGATTCCACCGTTGTGTTAAACGAAGTTTAAAATTACATTTTTACATTAGCAATGTCATTTTAATCTCCGTCTAACACAACGGTGGAATCGGCCCTTACTGGTTTTAAAATTTGCAAACCATTCGAGATTTAGGCCCGTATTTATAAACAAAACTCAGCTGAGTCGGACTTGGGTAAGTCGTCCTTGAACGAAAATCGAAGTTCGGTTATATCGCGTGAATTTAGAGATGGGTAGTAACAAATCTGTAAATGTACGTAACAGTTACAGATTTGCTAATATCCATCTCTAAATTCCAGTCTAACACCAGAACCACCAGGGGTGGGAAACTGGTATGCGCAGGTCAAGGATCAATCAACCACGTCCGCGTGGCGCTGCAGTCGGGTGGTGGGGTAGGTGGTGGGAGTGTAAATGACAGGTGAATATTGATTTTGGGGGGTGTCATGGCGTCTTGGCTTAAACCAAACGTGTCATAGAAAAATAAAAAGAGAAGGTTTGAATAAATGGCGGGATTTGTTTCCTTGTTGGTAGTTGAACCGTAAGCGCTTAGCGCGCTGCTATCACTAAATTCAAACCCGTTTACACCCATAAAAAAATATGTTTTCAAAAATAATGACAAAGAAATCAATAAGTTTACTGATTTACCCCTTTAAATTTCACTTTGCTATAATGTGTGATCAAATACAGGGATAATCGTTAATAAATTTAAAGTTAAAGCTAAATTTAAATATTATTAGGTGGTGTAAATCTGGCTTTGAAAATAAATTAGGTTATGTTGCTATAAATAATAATAAATATGTCAGCCTGATATTATTTTCATTTTCAAATCAGGTGATATTTTTTTCAAATGTAGGTGAGTAAATTGTATTAAGTGTAAGTTAGATTTAACTAATTTAACTATAGGCAGGTTCTTAAGAAAATCGTTAACTTCTGATTCATTTAAATTTTAATTGCAGAAGTACCTAAGTATTTTTCTCACAAAACTAACAAGAAAGTTTGTTTTTCCTGCTATTATTACTCTAGAGATAAATGGATCCACATTTTAAACATTTGCGGTCAAAAAAATGAAAGGAGTTGTGAGCGAAATGTGTGAAGCCAATTTACAAACAAATATTGTAGAACCCGAGATAGAACCTGATCTTAGTTTTACTCATAAAGACCATGATGAAAAAAGGCGAATGATTTGTGCTCAAAAAGTTATTCATTATTATATTTATCAAATAATACCCAAATATGTTCAAAAACTTATATGCTATTTAGGTCAACTTGTTAATTTTTGCATAGTTCACCTATTAAGATCATAAATCAGATGTTTTCTATTATTATTGAAATTTTAATACCTTTTATTGCAAGAAAAATGTAAGAATTTAAAAAGGTTATGACTCGTGTTTATTTTTAATTTTAAGATACACACTGCACCTTTATTTTTGTTGTGTTTTAGATATTACTGGGTATGGAGATTTTTGGAATGTGCATAAATGTGTTTCTTAATTAGGGTGAGTTTCAAAGCCCACCTGTATTGAAGCTGGAGGCTTATTGTAACCGAAATAGGCATTACAACTATTCTAGATTGAAATAGATGGAAAAAGCCTTAAAGGGACAATAAGTATAAGAATATTAGAATTAGAATGATTTGTCCTTGGATTAATAAGGGATATTTAAAACATTAAAACAATTGTGTTCATAAATTAACTACTTTGACTTTTTATAAAAACTATATCCGGTTTTTTTAATGATAAAAACATTGTCATGTGCTATGCTGGTTATCATATTATATTTTTATTTTTCAGTAATTTAGTGTGTGATATAGTGCTTGTTATGTTCAAAATATGCAGTTAGAAGATAATGAGACACATGTAATTACATGGTAATTCTAAATAAATTAAACTTGTTAAAAATGTGTTTTATTTTTCAACTAATTTTATTTTTCAGTTAAAACAAGTGACATTTTCCATTTTTCAACATTTACCTACAACAAAAATTCACTAAACTTATTGTTTGTTTAGTAATTGTAAGTAAAAGTTGTCACATAGGAAAATGTTACTTCAAATTGCTTCAAATATCTAAATTATCAAGCCCGCCAATTTTTAAATCGCTTTAATTAGTAGTGTTCTACTTTATCGACTGAAACTGACAGGTGTAGTTCAACCGTAAGCGCTTAGCGCGCTACTGTCGAGGTCAAGCAAACTTGTTACCAACTATTTACATGGAATCCGACCCCCGTGGGATTCCATGTAAATAGTTGGTAACAAGTTTGCTTGACCTCGACAGTAGCGCGCTAAGCGCTTACGGTTGAACTACACCTGTCAGTTTCAGTCGATAAAGTAGAACACTACTAATTAAAGCGATTTAAAAATTGGCGGGCTTGATAATTTAGATATTTGAAGCAATTTGAAGTAACATTTTCCTATGTGACAACTTTTACTTACAATTACTAAACAAACAATAAGTTTAGTGAATTTTTGTTGTAGGTAAATGTTGAAAAATGGAAAATGTCACTTGTTTTAACTGAAAAATAAAATTAGTTGAAAAATAAAACATATTTTTAACAAGTTTAATTTATTTAGAATTACCATGTAATTACATGTGTCTCATTATCTTCTAACTGCATATTTTGAACATAACAAGCACTATATCACACACTAAATTACTGAAAAATAAAAATATAATATGATAACCAGCATAGCACATGACAATGTTTTTATCATTAAAAAAACCGGATATAGTTTTTATAAAAAGTCAAAGTAGTTAATTTATGAACACAATTGTTTTAATGTTTTAAATATCCCTTATTAATCCAAGGACAAATCATTCTAATTCTAATATTCTTATACTTATTGTCCCTTTAAGGCTTTTTCCATCTATTTCAATCTAGAATAGTTGTAATGCCTATTTCGGTTACAATAAGCCTCCAGCTTCAATACAGGTGGGCTTTGAAACTCACCCTAATTAAGAAACACATTTATGCACATTCCAAAAATCTCCATACCCAGTAATATCTAAAACACAACAAAAATAAAGGTGCAGTGTGTATCTTAAAATTAAAAATAAACACGAGTCATAACCTTTTTAAATTCTTACATTTTTCTTGCAATAAAAGGTATTAAAATTTCAATAATAATAGAAAACATCTGATTTATGATCTTAATAGGTGAACTATGCAAAAATTAACAAGTTGACCTAAATAGCATATAAGTTTTT